ATATATATATCATGTATTATTATATTTTCCATTTCTTCAGAACATTTTTAATGTATCAACTCTCAGCTTTCTGTACTGTTTAATTTTGAATTGTTTCTATTTTAAAATCATTTTCTACATAAATAATTTTAGTTTATAAAATACTTATTTTCTTCAATTTAACATGTATCTAATTGGTATTTTATTCTCAAAATGGTATAGAAACTGATCCAACCACAAATTCCTGTGTCTGAAGCTGCTACAGAAGTTCAGCACCCTCCAGTTACATCTACAGTAACATCTGAAATGCATTCAAATTTCACAAACACTTCTTTCATATCTGAAAAAACAATCATTTCAGAAACAACAAAAACAGAGAAACAAACATCTATAAAGTTGGAACACACACCGTCTCCGATATTTTTCAAACCTGATGCACATTATGAAATTCCAAAGGAACACACTGTTCTTCCTCAACAAGAAAAAGAAAACAAAACACAAGTTTTTGCACCAACACTTCCTGTGACTCAAGAATTTAAAACAGAATTACATATTGATGAAGTTGTTGAAAGAAACATTTCATCACCCTTTCTACCTACTTCACCTGTAAAAGAAATGCAGAAAGAAGTAGAATGTCAGTCCACTACAGAAGAAATAAGCCCTCTGAAAGGAGATGCAAATGCTGAAACATCATTATTAGATCAACCTGTTGTAAAGAAAATTCTTATTAATTTGGAATTAGAACCGACAACCATTGAAGATAATTCTATGACAAGGGAAAATTCTGTATTTGAATATAAATCAGTTTCTCCTTCAATGGATCAACCAGAATTAAAAGCTGAATATATAGAGATAAAAAATGAAAATAAAGAGCTTCAGGGAAATGAAGTTACACCCGTCGAAATAGTAAATGATGAGCTTCGTATTCATCACACAGATACAGTGCAAAGTTCAGAAGATACTGGTGTTGAAACTGCTTCAGTAAGTAAGAAACAAGCTTATGAATTTTTCATAAACAAAATAAAAGAATTTGAAGAAGAAAATGCTAAGCCAATAATTAAAAAGCCAATAAAATTACCAAGCCAAGAGGTACCAAGATTTACTGGTAGTTTGAACACAGGAAAAGAAGAACAATCACATGATCAAACCATGTATTATTCTAGCATTCCTACTGAATTAAAATTAATACCGTACACTGAATCAAAAATATCAGAATTTCAATCTGACCAGAGTATTAATATACAGTGTGAAACACAGATTTTACATCAACAGCAATCATCAGATTCCTTTGTTGAAGAATTTTGTGTTCGACATGAGCCTCTTCTTGAAATTGATAACCTTTCTAAATCAGAAATAAAAACTAAATCAACAGATGATGCTTCAACTCAAACTAAATCTTCAGAAGAAATAAATAAAGGTATTTCCCCTATTAAAGTACCAATTGTATCGGGGAATGTTTTTCATCCTTCAGTTTCAGAAGAATTGCAAAATCAAACATCTGCTAAAAACATAGTCTTTACATCTGCTACTAAAACAGAAAATATTATTAAAAATGAAGCTACTCCGTCAAACACCGTAGACGCTGTAGTTTTTCCAGCAGTTGATGATGGTACATTCCTTTCAAAGAGCACCCATTCTAAAACTCCAGAACTACCTAAAGAGGCCATAACCACTATGCAATCCTACATGGACTCTGTTACATTCACTTCATCTAAATCAACAGAATCTCTTAAACATGTATCGGTAGTGCCTGAACCAATTTCTGTACCAGTCCTAGTTCCTGAACCTGAGCCAATGTATATCGAACCTACATCTTCAGAATTCAAAGGAATTCAGTCAGAGACCCCAGAATTTTCACAAATGGAATCTCAAACCTCTATATGTGTACGAACAGATACTGCAATACCTCCCAGCCAACCTATGTCACTGGTAAAATCTGCTGTCCATGCATTTAATTCAAGATCTATATCAGAAGCTGTTGTTAACCAAGAACAGATACCAATTCAACCAATTTCTTCCAAGCCCTTCCAGCCATTTCCATCGAATACATCTAGCGAAGGACTCGAGAAGGAAAAAATGTTGAAGCCTTTTGAATCCAAATCCGAGTTGTTTGTTCATACATCTTCATCTTCAATTGAAAAATCAGAGATTGTTAGGAGTGTATCTCCTAAACCTTCAGCTGAAGGTCTTGCTATGGAAAAGTTATGGATTCCTCAAATGACACGAGAACTAGAGATAACAATTCCAAAACCTTCTGTGGATCAAAAACATGTCGATGGTGTTGTGTCTCCAAAACCATCAGTAGAAGGTTTGGCAATGGATAAACTCTGGGCACATAAACATCCAGACTCTAGTCTAAAAAAGATTTGGCCTCCCCCACAGCATTCTGAGAATAAACCAATCATCCCATGGAGCACCAAAGCTACTTCAGAAAAAATGCAGTTAACCGTTGACTCTGTTGTGGATCAAAAAGAAGAAACAGTAACCGTATCTCATAAATCAGCCGCTCAAATGGTTTCACAGAGTGTTCCAATACCTCCTCCAGAACCAAATAGTTTTCAAAATTCTGAAGCAAAAGAAACCAACCCTGAAGTGCAACAAGTACCTCCTGTCTTTTGGCATGGGGAGAATCTTCCTCCTACTTCCCTTCTTGCAAGTGAATCTGGGTCTGATGCTCTAACAGTGAATGCAATTATTCCTGCAAGCCAACCTGCTCCTGTTGTACATTATGTTGCAAATGCAAGTGTTATACATTCCGCTGCAACAATAAATCAGGAAATACGGACTACAGAAATATTCAGAAACACAGAGATAAAAGAAGAAAAAACTGAAGTATCAAAACTAGTCCATCAATCAGAGATTACAACTAATGATTTATCTTCTACAGCGGACAAGTATATCATAAATCAATACGAGGAGAAAAAGATTCAGCCGGTGGCTTTAAATGAAAGATTTCAGGCTAAATCATTATCATGTGATGATTCTGTGCCACACCAGAAAGAGAAACGTGTTATTGCTTCGGAGACTCTTAAAGATATAAAAAAACGCGAAGAAAAGCCTCTTGAAGATAAGAAAGAAAAGAGCAAGACATTACCATTACAAAAACAACCATTCCAACTATTAGATTTGGAACCTTTTCCTTTCCAACCACAAACTCCTGTAAAGCACCGACCTGCACCGTGTCCTCCGCCACCAAAGCCTTCGAAATTTATCAAGGGTGAATTTGTGGAGAGCGACTATGAAAGTGAATTCGAATCTCATATTCCTCCTAAATGGAGGCCATATGAAAGTGATACAGAAGAATTAACATATCGCCGAGTTAAGCCACCATTGTTTACTCACTCAAAAAGACCGAAGTCAACAGAACCTGCACCATTACCTCCTTCTTCTTTTGAAAAACCACTTCAATCTCATGAAATACTTCGACCGGTAATCGATAAAAGTTTAAATGTTACCAAGGAAATAAAATCAACATCCAGTAAAAAGACCGTCTCTGCAAGTACGACAAAGTCTTACGCACTGTCAAAGACGGACAAAGTAAAAAGACAACAAACGAGTGAAACTTCTGAAAAAGATTTACCTGTGGTCCTAAAACCAGGTTCTCCTCCTGAATACGTGCAGGCTATTATATTGCCAAAAGCTCAAGAGTCACAGCATCAAATTGTAAAGACTGAAAGAGTTTCTCCTCCAAAGTACAAATTAGATTCATCAAAATCCAAAACGAAACCTTCAAAAAGTGAACTTCCTGAAAGTGGTTATATGGCAGATACTGATGAGCCCAGACAATTTAAATCTGCCCATCACAAGTCGACCATAAAACATGAAGAATCGTTTAAGTCGACAGTGGAGAAAACCACTGTCATCACTGGGAAAACTATACAGCAGAGTTCCCACAGCACAGCACCAACTCACACAAACAAATCTCAGACTGAAACAAAAATAATTACACAGCCACATTCTCAACCTCAACAGACGCAACAGAATGAGCATCATCAGGTGCACAAAACTCAACAGAAAACAACTTCCAACATTGAGAAAGCACCTCCCTCCAAATTCCAATCTGCAAAACTTCATCATAAACATTTAGAGAATAAACATGAACAGAAAGGAATGTCTTCAACAGGATCTACAAAATCTAAGAAGGTGTGATGTTCTAAATATCCTGTGTGAAAAATAACTTTGTATTTTTACGTTTGAAACCAGGAATTCTCAAAGGTGTCAGGCGCCAAAATTTTATTTTTTATTGTAATTTTTTTAAGAGGGTGCCAGAGATTGTTGTAAAAGAGATAATTTCAAACGAAAGAATTCTTATTGAACTATTATATCTATCTATTATATCTGAAATTTAAAACAATGCAAATACACAGAATATGTGTTCCTCTCAAAGGTGTTAAGTTACAGATCTTATGAAATCATTTCATTCAAACATTATTAATACTTATAACACAGCAAAATTGACAATCAACAATATCATATTAGAGCACTTTTCAGAATCAAATGTAGTTCAATTTAGAACATTTTTGCAAGATTTTTGCTCTGGAATCCATCTTGCAAGGCGGCTGTGTCGTGTCACGGCAGAACCTACCTGGTATTTTTCACTGATAGTTGAGAGTCACATATGGTTAAAACATATGGCAAAGTTTTAGCTGCTGAAGAAAACTGGAAGTTACCACAAAATAATTAAAAATTCAAATTTCTCGTATATTTGAAGCTTGAAACTTCTTTTTATAAAGTTCAGTTCTGCTATCATCTGGCAATACAAGCCCCGTTTGGTCGCAAAGACGAACTGTAAGCAAGAGATTCTTTCTGACAACAATGTTTCACCGTAAACGCTTGTCAAACTAATCCCGATATAAGTAATTTGTAGAGTAGCTTCCAATCTGCTTCGGCTGAAAAAAGTTTGCATATTATTTACATGTTACATGTAACATGTAAATAATAACATTTATAACATTGTGTCAACGCGAAATACAGTGACATAATACCACCCTGAAAACTGGCCTTGAGGCTCAATGTTTTAAAACCCGCACAATATCACTGAAAAAAATCAAGTTTTATTTCGGCATCACAAGGCAAACCATTTCCTTGTAAAACAAATAATAATTTAATATGCGCTCGTGATATAACAACATTTCGGACACGTAGGGCAGACGTTTCATTCCTTCTTTATAACTTTTCCGTAATTACAGGCTGATTTTGAAGACTTGCAACACCAAATGATCAATAAAATGCCCTTAAAATGTTTTTAAAATGCCCTAAAAGAAAAGAAAAATTACGTAAAAAAATGATCAAACCAGTTCAGATGAATACTCAATCTGTTAGATATGTTCTCTGTATTGAGGCATCATCCTTTCGTTCAAGTGAACTCGATTTGCAAACTTATGGTTTGGACTGATCCAGGAAATCTTTGTCTTCAGTTATCGTGAAATCCCGTGAAAATATTATTAACCCGCTTCAAAAATAAGATGTGCAATTCTCATACCTCTAAATGTGGGGATTTCCCTTATTTAGAATTTGAATTGAAATTCATGACAGAGAAAAAAATATCGTTTTACTTGTATGAGGTGGCTTCAGTAAACTCAGCACCAAGCTGAAATTGCCACTGACACGGAGAACAATAATTTCTGCCTCAATCATTTAGTACTTAACACCTTTGGGATACCAATCTTACTAGAGTTTACCCTAATGCTTTGACATCAATTTAAATTCCAGTAAGATTCGCAAGAACATAGTGTATTACAGTGGAAATGGCCATTATTTTGGGCACCCTTTTGTCATATTTTTGAAAAATTTGGCGCTTATTATACTTGGGAATTTCATTCATTTCATAAATAATAAAACTTATCACATGCGTGCACATACATACATATAAGTGTGCATGCTTTACTAATGTATATTGTAGTAAAGTATTTTGATTGAAGTATGTGAGGAATTTGTAGGTAGGACAAATGAATTATTTATTAGTTATTTAAGAAATTAGAAAATTTCATTTACAAATAAAATGCATGGTTTGTAGTATTTTAATATCTTATTCTTTGCTATTTCATTTTTTTATTAACAAAACTCATACGTAGTGTTGAGACCGCCACTAAATTAGTTTTTACCCATCTTTGATTGCAAGTCTTTTGTCACATACATTTTTAATATTAACATGTGCGTGCTCTTAGCTAATGTATTCTTAGAAAGTTTCATAGTCATTATTGCTACACCTGTTGTTAATATGTTAAATTTTACGAATGAAAAATGCCAGCAACAAAAAAATATTTTAATTCCCATTTAGTTCCTTGAGGAGTATATTCACAGATTCAATCCAGAAACAGAAATGTTTGCAAGAATTTGTGCTCTCGCATTTAGCGCAGTATATTGCATTAGTTAAAACGCCAGCCTAGGTGAACATTCTTTGTAGAAATGAAAAACAACAATTTAAGATTTTTTTGCGCTACATATGTGCCTACATGACGCAAATATTCAGAGCATGAAGACAGTAAGGTGGAGATTCATCTGTAGTCGAGGGGGGGTATGTATGAAACGCGTTGGCACCTAATCAGAACACCTGAACATCAGCGTCATCACGCGCTCAATGGAAGAAACTTTTAAGGCATTACCGGCCATTGGCAACCAATCTCATGTCAAGTCAACGCCATCTACACTTACACACGCACACTAAAGTGTAGATGGTGTTGGTCAAGATGGCGCGCCTTTATGGACAGATAGTATAGAAGATAATAATGGAAACTCGTCGAATATTTTGGCGACAGTCACGGAATAGTTTAATGAGTTTGGTGAAAGTGACTCTCGGCTGTTCGAGGTGTAAATTACAGAGCTCAGATGAATGTGCGAGCACGGGCAGAATCGTTATAAATGAGCAAATGTGAGAAAGTATGTGTTGTCGGTGATTTTTTAAATGTTCTTTTATTATTTTTGAAAAGTTCTTTTTGTAGAAATGACTGAAAGGAGTTGCGTTTCTAGCGTCCACGGATGTAATATCTACAAACTGCAAAAGGATCGTAATTCATTTGACCAATTTCCTAAAATAATAATAATTTTCCTAACGAGAAAACAGAAAACAATTGCAATGACATGAAAAACATTTTCACCATCAGAATGAAAGAATTTGTGTGCAACGTATCAGGTGTGAAAGGCAAGCTTGTTAGAAGTTTTCTGAGAGATGATTTAATTGAAGAAAATGTATGTAGTGATTGATGCAAATGCATGCTCTGTCACAAATATTTCAAAGTATAAAATTAAACGAATAAAATTAGAATATAGTTGACATTCGGGTGAGGAGCGGATTGGCGTTGCCGCATACTGCAGAGGTGTTTTGAATCACTGTTCCCTAGGTTACGGCGCTGGCGTCATCACGTGATCACGAAATTTCAATCACATTCTAATTTTATTCGGATCTGAATTAAAGCATACATTAATGAAAAATGACAGTTTGAACCAAATTGGGAAATCAAAAAATGTTAAATTTAAAAGAAATTATGCTAATTTAAGTACAGACCAATTACGTATTTTCAATATCAAATTCTTATTATATTTCTGCCATTCTAATAAAATGACATTCTTTTTCTGCCATTCTAGAGTTTGCCCTTTAGTCCAATAGATGATTAATGACATTGACAGAACATCCTAGAAATATATATATATATATATATATATATATATATATATATATATATATTTATGGATTTTATAAGAAAATAATATTAATAATATAGAGCACAGAATAAAATATCTCCATTCTCTGCCATACGAAGTAATGTCAAAACATGGTACAGACTGTTGTGTACTATTAGAGACATCTTGAAGTGTACACCTCACGCAGCTAGGCGGCAGTAGGAACAGTTGGCGCTTGTACCGCCAATGTTGATTTGCCCATGTTTCCACTAGGATCTTCTATATTATTTGGTTGTGGAGATGTCCAGTATAGTTCAAAATGTGGTATATGTATCGATTTTATTTTAGTACGTCGAGATCATTCTTTGTTGGAGGTTTTCCTCTGCCTACAATGGTTTAGAAACGTTTTTGTTTTGTGTAGATAGTACACTTTCTCGCATTGAGATGTTTTATTTTCTCTAAAATAAAGTTGTATTTTCACGATAAACATATTATGTGCGATAACGGACTGGGGCAAAAGGAGTTGGGAGAGACAGAGTAAGCTTGTTTAGATTCCCTACTGTTCACAGAAACCAGGAAAGAAAAATTACAGCACCCTCGGAACAAAGAGGACAAAGGTGGATTTCCGTTTAGAAGCGAGGAAAGTCAGATGGTTATTTCAAGTCAATAGTGAACACTTACAGGAACTACCCGCCATCGTAATTCGCAGTTCAAATGTCGAAACTTCTAAACATTTTCCTATCATTCTCAGATTTGTAATCTGCAAACGTATGTAGAGTTTCCACGTTTTTGCAATGATATAAACAACCCACTAGAAAGAACATTACTCTCACAATAAATAAGTTGTCATTTACATGTATTACCACGTTTTCAACATGTACGTGTTCAACAAACATAGCATCATTACATGTACGAACCACTAATGCTTTATGAATCTTCAAGATTTTATTTGTGTAAAAGCTAAGCCGAAATATACGTACCTCACCAAATCAACCGTTTACTTCTGCCTCCGAGGCTGTTAGATCATATGTCCCAATCGAATCGCAAGAAATGTTATTAAATGTTCATTTTAACTTGGCAAGCAATTGAATTGAATTTGATTTATTGAAAATATGTTTCATAAAAAAAGCTTATCTATAAAATCATTAGGGATAACATGTAATATTTTAATCGTGTGCCTTGAATATTGGAATACAACCGTCAAAATTCGAATTCAGCATAGGAAACTGCAAATATTAAAAAAAATATTATGATGAAAACAATGTTTAATATTTATTTTTATTATTAAATAACTATACAGTTGAGATAATTAATACATTAACAAACTAATACGTTAAAATATATCAAATTTTGGTTAACTTAGTGTTGAAAGTTCCTCCACATTGTGAATCAATACGAATCTTTTTGGGACTGTGTTTATGAACATTCTGGATTTTTTCGAACGATTATTGTTTAATGTAGATAATATTTATCTCAATGATAATAATGAATACTGTTTTCTAAAATATTTTAATAGCCGACAATTTGTAAAAAATATACAGAATGAGTCACTTCTATGTACTCGAATACACTGGGGCCCGAAATTCATTGACACTTTTCATATCCAATGAAAGGGCACGTGGATCCAAATCTTTTGTAAATTCCATTTTATTACAAAGAAAGTAGCGCCTTAGCATCATCGCTAACGTCATGATGATATTTTCTTCGAACCATTTTTAAAATGAAAAGGTAGTTACTTGACGTATGTCTGATAGAATAGTACTTCTTTAAATCAAATTTGTGAACGAGATGCGCAGCCAGAACCTAAATAAACCGAAAGAAAGAAAAAAACATTGTAAATAAAAAATTAAATAAGCAACTTAAACCTAGGCAACCCCATAATACACCCAAAACTTACTAGTTCTCGAGGTAAGGCTTACGTGCATGCCACCCCACACTTTCCCGCAAAACGTTGTGACGTCATTCTGGACATCTCTATTGGCTGAAAGAATCCGAGATAAGTTCCTTTATTCACCGCTTGATGTCGCTGAAGTTCAGTTGCGCCGATTAGCTGCCAACGTTTTACGTACACGCGCCTCCCACCATGCCTCCAACACCGGAGTTGTATCTCCATCTAAGGGCCCCCGCACACGAGGTTGCGTCGACGCGCGATAAGTCACGCGTCTCGTAAAATAACACTTTCTTAAGCGAAACGGCACACGAGCGCTTTAGCTGTTCCGCGTTCTTATGCAGTGTTAACCTACCACGAGCGGCAGTTATCGCGCGTCAACATAACGCTCGTGTGACACAGCATTCAATGGTCATAGTATTGGCGGGGATATACTAGAATACACAGTTATTGTTCTTTATTATGATGGAAAGAGCCAGATTCAGAAGAATTTAAGCTGTTCCAGTTTGGGATAGATGGGATATTAGCTTTAGTTCATTGTGTATAGCTCTATAGCTAACATACTTTTCTATGGTGATTTATGTATTATATTGGATAATTATTTTTAAGTCTATTTAAATATTCTTACATTTTGACAATCTGTTTTTAAATTTCAGGAAATAATATCAACATTTACTTCCGAAGTACAAAAAGAGAAAAAGGACATTAAACCCGTTCCAGTTAAACCAGTTCATCCAGGCCCCCCAGTAAAACAATATGTGCGTCACTCGCTCCCCAGCCCCTCGAAATTTGTTAAAGGAGAATTTCGTGAAAGTGATTACGAGAGTGATTATGAATCCCGCATTCCTGCTAAATGGAGACCTGGTGATTCAGATGCTGATGAACCGAAATACAAGCCGGTCCATCCACTCTTAGCACAAAAGGGCTTTTCTCAGTCTCCTCTGTTAAGTGCTAGAACGCCTACTCCGCCCACAGAATTTGACAATCCCCCGGAGTTTAGCGCTCCACCAAGACCCAAATTTGAACCCATAGAAAAACCATCTCAAAGTTGTAAAACGGATGTTATTCGTAAATCATCCGGACATCACCAAAAAGTGTTTAAACCTAAACCCATCACACCGAAAACAGTTCCTCCTATAATAGCTACGCCTGATTTAAAATCAAAAGAATCGGAAGCCTTGAAACCTGGGCCATGCCCGGAAATTGGATATGCTCCTCCTCCTCCTCCAAAGACAAAGATAAACATTGCTCCCTTTGAGAAAGCAACTCAAATTGAAACGTCAAAAATAATGAATATTTCAGAATCTACAGAACATATGCATCGTGTAGTTAACGTTCAGCAAACCACACATGTGATTAGGTTTGGAGAAAAAGAAAGGGAAGTCCCTGATCAGCAATCTGAAACTTTTCCTTTCAAAACTGACCTTGTAAAACAGAGAACAAAACGCCCTGTTCTTACTACCCCGAAAAAGTTTGTCCCAGGAGACTTTTACGAGAGTGAATATGAAAGTGATCTGGAGGCAGTGAAAATAAAACCTAAGTGGACTCCTGGGAACAGTGATACGGAGGAACCTCATTACAGAAAAGTGAGGCCTCCACAAATTACTCATTCTACGAAAGGACCTTTAGCGATTTCTTCTTCTCAACCGCCAACTGTCTCAACAGAGTCCAATTTGGCAGCTACAACTAACACTACTCAGGCTATATCTATTCAAAAGGGCGAAGTTCAGAAGAGGAACGTCAGTAGCGTAGAAAAAATTAGAACTTTCAAGAGTGAACAAAATCGAGGATCTCAACCTATTGGTATGGAAATAACACGGCAACAAGACATTCAATTGCAACCGGGAGAACCTCCAGAATTTTGTTTTGCTGGAAATGTAGCATCAGTTGCTTCATGTAAGTATATAATAAATCCCTAACATTTGAAGTTTCTCTTCCGTCCATGTGTCTTTAGAATTTTATTTTATTTTTTTTATAGACGTGACTTCAAAACATATGAGTGACATGACAAATACATTTAGGTCTAAAGCTCAACAGTTTGCATCCGATATTATGACAGATGTAGGCAATTCAAGGCCAAACACACAACCTGAGAAAATAATAACAAAACAAGACAATTCTAAAGATACTGAATCCGAAAAATGTTTAGATGACCCCCAAGCATATCGTGAGGAGTCAAGAGTCTCAGAATATGGTATGATTTATTTTGTGTTCTTTAGTTTAATCATGAATTTATTACATTTATTGAAAACCTTTACTTTAAATATTAATATGAGTTTTCTTTTTCTGTATAATTTGTTCCTTTCTCTTCTATGTCCCGTTTATTAATTATCATGGCTAAAAACAGGAACGAAGCACATTGATCCAGACACTGGACTTATTTACTTCAAGTATGATTTCGGATATGAATTTGGAATAGTCTTGCCGAACGAAGGAAAGAAACAAGAAGGAAGCACATCGAAATATCCACAAATCGATCGAAAACAGGCTGGTGATATAGAAGTTCCTGTAATTCATGAAAAAAACACTAAAGGGGACGAAAACATCACCAGCAAAGCGACAGAAACAAAAATCACTCCAGCGTCAACGAAAGTGCCACAATTCAAACCCAAAAAATTCACTCATTTTAAGGCAGTCAAATGGGAACCGGCATCGGAGAGCGAAATGTCTGAAGCTGAAGGAGATTCTGCCAAGATGAAAAAAAGTTACATTTCACCTCAGTCCAATCTTGCTATCCAAAAAGAGCCTCACATCCATATCCCTCCTACTCAGTGGGGTCCAGCTCCTACTAGTCCTTTATCCCTTTCTCTCTCTCCAAGTTTACCAAGCTTGTCTCCCTGTACTGGTGCTACATTGGATTCTACAGGTACAGTGTTTGCACTTACTAAATGTGCGAGTGCATGTACGCGCTCGTGTGCATGGGTGTGTCTAACATGTGTAACTTGCCGTTAACACGCTCTACAGGTTTGATATTCTAAAGCTGCCTGTAGCATTCGCTGTTAAGATTCTAGGCGTGATGCGTGATTATTGCTCTAATAACTTGATATTCTCTCTCTCTCTCTCTCTCTCTCTCTCTCTCTCTCTCTCTCTCTCTCTCTCTCTCTCCTTCTCTCTGTCTTTCTCTCTCCCATTTCTTTCCCTCTCTTTCTCTCTTTTTCTTTCCCTCTCTTTCTTTCTCTTTCTTTCCCTTTCTCTTTCTATATTTCTCTCTCTCTTTCTCTCACTCTCTTTCTTTCTCTCTTTCCTTCTCTCTCTCTCTCTCTCTCTCTCACACACACACACACATATACATGGCCTTTTACCGCTGGTGATGTCCTTGGATTGTTGCATACGTATTTCGTCGTGCATGGGACATTATGTGATGCATGTATGATTTTTGGTTGCGGATCCAAGAAAAGCACGCGGCTGTTATCACGCTATCATCTGGTGACAAATGTCGTAGGACGCCCACTGCGCGCCGCGCCACTTTGGCCCAGGGAAGCCTCGCTGGCGGGCAACGCTCGCCTGGATTGGCCGAAACCAAGAGAGCACGAAAACTTGCGCCGCAGAAGACGCTCGCCAGTCGCCCGGATACGCGTTTCGCGTCTGACACAGTCGCTAACGAGGTGTTCCGCAGAAATTAAGATTCTTCTCCCCGAATACTATTCCGTAATCCCTCTTCTGTGATTTGAGTGTCGTACACTCTGGATTTTCAAATGTCCTCCCAAAACAAATCACACGGCGTTAGGTCGGCATGGATTGCCGGCCTCGTGAAAAAGCACTGGTTCATTATTTGCATAGCGCGTTACGGGCTTGAAAGCCGCTGCCTTATGCACACTCGCCGCATCAAATAAGAAAGATGTGTTGTTTTTTTTCTCTTCGTTCAGCTACAAAAAAATGTCGCTGGCGCGCACCAAACTGATGCAACTATTTCACAAAACCAAAAAACTTCTTCTGAGCTTTTTCACTACATTCTGAATTTTATAACTATATGGAATTCGCACGCCAGTAAACGGTTGCTAAAATTCCCGTCTGCATTTCTTCTGGTAGTCAGAAAGTTGTAGGAAAACATTGTTTGCTCGACAGGGAACGTCAAACGAATCATGTCGAACATTGGTAAAAGGGAAACTGAAAACAAGGAGAGTTCGAAATATTTTCAGATGTCAAGAGAACTGCAGCTATGGAGAATTTTCCTGGCTGCTAGATTACTGTAAGCAAGCGATAACAAACCTTTCTTACTTGCTCGCCTACTACGTACTTGCGTAGTAAAGAAAAGGTATTGTAAAGCTGCAGAGGAGAGTGGCGATTTTTATCTTAAAAATGAATTTTGTGGGAAGTTGGTAACGAAAAATTAGTTTACGAGAAAACGTCTGTCTCTCTTGTTCTTTTAAGTAGTAAATTACCTCCCGTAACATGTTGTGTCGTAAGAATCTACTTTTAGTGGGTCCTTGATTCCGAAACTTGGTTTACGGCAGAAACACACTCAACGGGAGGGGGACTCATAGGGCTCAGTTACCCCAAGCCAATGCGTCGGTTGAACACTACACCTCTCGCCGCCCCCAGAGAAAATCCTGGGTGCGCCTCTTTTATGGCAAAACGTCGCCCTGTCGGTTTGCCCCTAAATACGTATTTTGTAGGAAATTTTGTGTACTTGAATTTTGCAAGAAAGAATCATTTTATTGAAACGCATAGGTTTTTTTTAGATATAAACAAACAATGAAGAAAAAACTGCGAACATTGTGTTTGTTTTTTCTTCGATTTTCTCTGTGAAGCCGACCTTTCTCGAGATGCCAAACATGAAATTCGAATTCAGCATGCCAAAACTCACAGAGAACCGTTGAAAACAAGCTTGTGGAATTCTTTTTTCTAGATCGAGCCCTTTTGAGCACCACTGACTGCACCAAGTACATGTGATAGGTCCAGAGCTATCCGACTGGCGGCTCGAGGGATGCATGCGGACTAATACCACATTTGTCTGCCAACAACCTCTCCACATCTGCATGCCAAATTAGGAAACTCATGTTTGGAAAACATTATAAAGGGAAAATTAGAAAACTCTAATGACTCTAATTTTTATTGAATAACTCACAATAAGTGTAACATCTTAAAATAATACTAACAAAATCCCGTTTATATCAATGCTTTCGCTCTGACATCCTTATTCTAATAGTTTAAATTATTAGTTTTTTCTCTGCAGAAAAAAATGTTGTTTTTTTTTCGGACCTAAAGCATGTTTTTTTTTTTAAGAAAGGAGATAATATTCATGGTTATCATTACATACTTTGTTTCTCTGGCAAAAAATTATTCAAAAAGTTGTCTAAAAAAACTTCAAGTGCTTGGTGGTGCAGGAATGGTTTGTTTCATCACTCTAACTGTTTATATTCCTCCTTTTTATATTTTAAATATGACAGTGGGAGATTGAAGAATTCCTTCATTCAAAAAGCCTGGACAAATGACTGATAACTCCACCCTTTTAAGCCAAAACAAGTAAATTTTTAGATGTCGCTAGAAAATTAATCCTCTGAGAACCGGGTGTAGATAATTACGTTGAAACACAGGTAGGGTGTTTCAGTTTATTATTTTCAAAATTTAGCGTGTTTCTTATTCAAGGATTCCCTTTTAAAATAAAATATTTTTACTACACACAATGGAGTAAGTTAAGAAAAATAGGTAACATAAAAGACCATGTACATTATTTGGACACCTTCAAGCTTACAAATAGCTAATTTTAAGTAAAGAAAAATTAAAGAGCTTTCACACAGAGAAACACAAACTAGAAAGTGTAATATATATATAGATATTAATATATATTATATATATAATATATATATATTATATAATTATATATATATATATTATATGTATTTAGCAAAAGATCGTTAAACAATTCATTCACTATATTTTAACTTAAAAATTATGTTTGGAATGTGAAAACACATCGCCCAGTTTTCAGAGGGTTAATGCCAGATATTTTACACCTTTAACATCAAAAGGGGAAAAATAGGTTACACATAGGTTTCACGTATTCAGCTGACATGGCTATCTGGAAGTTGCCTAGGATGTGGCGTATCCTGAACAGCCAGGTATCTATTGATCCGGCCTCAGAAGCTTACACTTTCTGGTCATAATGGTCACAAAAAGTGAGGAAGGTTTGACACATTATTAATACATGGCAACTCTGGCACAAATTGAAAAATGAAGTTTTGTGATAATTTTTAAAGCTTTCGCTGCTGTTTAAAATGCAGGTATCACATACTTAATGATTAATGAATTATAGAGTAAGTGTTGCTAAAAGGCTTCATTGAAATTTTATTAAAAATTATTATAAAATTTTATAAGAATACAATCATAACTCAAAATTCATTGTTGTTTGAGATGTGCCAGTGTTGCAATTAATAAACATGAGCCCAATAGTAACTAAAATTTTTCCCTTATGTTTATAATACAAGTTTTTATTTGTTTATGAATCAAAGCATGATATCAGATTTCTCTTTTTTCCCACAAAATTGATTTTGTTATCAACAACAACCTTTTTTGGAATTGGTGTCACATTTATTCCTTTGATATGTATGTAATGTTTACTAATGTTTACTAGCATCACCAGGAGGTTCATGGCAAGGTCTCAGCCCAATCAAGAGTCCACGTGTTGGATATGGTCGAGGTAATACTCCAACTCCACCTAGTACTCCAAGTACACCTAGGAGCACTTCTGGCATTATACCTCAACATTTCTGCAAACCTCCATCTTTTATTACTGTATGTTGACTTTTTTTAAATTACATTTTTGTGAACAAGCTCTTTGAAAACCAAATATAAATGAAAATTGAAGGAAATAATTTGTATTTATACATCTAATTTTTGGAAACAATAAAAATACATTTTTTTTCAGACACTAAGAGATATTACTGTAATGAAGGGTCAACCTGTTTGCTTTGAGTGTATAGTTCAAGCCGAACCGCTACCAAACATTTTATGGGCAAAAGATGGCAGATTGTTAGAAAATTCATTGAAACATCAACTTCATTTTAGAAATGGTGTATGTCGTCTGACTTTATCGCAGGCTTCTCCAGGTAAAAGAAACATGAGAAATTTGTAATGGTCACTTTGTGCTAATAATTTGTATTTATGTGCCACTTTTTATTTTTCAGACGACTCTGGAAATTACACATGTACAGCTACTAATAAATTAGGCACTGTTAAAACATCAGGATTATTACAAGTGCCAGGTGAGAAAAGTTTTATGCACAAATAATATATTGTCAAAAGGACAAATTATTTTTGTGCTGTATTATTACTAATTATATTATATTTATTTTAATTGGGCAGGTAAAGCTATTTTAGATTTTTTTCTAGTCAGCATGTGTTTGAATGAATTTTTAAATGTAAAACCATTTTCAAATATATAACAGCTTCAATTATTTGATTTGATGTAATACGAATGTCAAAATGTAAGATTTTATTTACATACTTTATGCAGCATTTTCATTCAGTAATTCTTTTTTATCAGATATGTGTGTTAATTGTTTTCAAATGTATTATCTATTATTTGAATGGAGTACAATGATACCTGTAACTACTATATTTGTAAGTCATTTTTCTTCACTGTGATTGTCTTGCCAGTCTTTGTATTTATTTTAATTTTGGTAATGAACTTGTATGGTGATGGGTATTGATTGTTTTTTAATTGTAGATTGTACTCAAGATATTTGATGTGCATGTCAAAAATCTATGGGAGCTTTTTATGGTGTAGGTTCTTGAGAACTTGGATCACAAACTAAATTTTTCTTCCTTTAGGTGCAAGGCTATTATGTTTCCTATAGAAATATAAGCAAAATAATGAGAGTAATTGTTATTATATTGTTTATAAAATTATGAAACATGAATTAGTTGTAATATCTTGCTAATGTAGTACTTTTTAGCATTTCTTATTGTAACAATCTCTTATAAATAAAAATATTTGAAATGTGGCCTTTTAATTAAAGGTGTTTTTGCTTTTTTGTTCCTTCTCTTTCAAAAGCTTAGTTGAATCACTACTCTCATCTTTTTTTAATTATCTCTGTAATATTCTTCATTATGTTAACTGCATAAAAGTTCCTCCTTGCATGATACCTGTCCTGACTAGCATGTTGGAAATTACTATGTAGTCAATATATTTTAAGATAAATGCTCTTTGATTTTATACCTGACATCAGTGGCATCATAAGGCCTCGTGCCATGAATATGTGAATATGACTGAAAGTCACCCTTACTTGTTTGTAGGGCTCTCTTGACAGGTGGGACTCACTTGGTAGGTATGGCCCACTCAGTAGATCTAGCTCCTTTGGGGTGCTTGCTGGTTCCCATCTTTCACTGCCACTGCATGAAATTTATTCAATTGTAACAGAAAAAAATTATTATATGATTAATCTGCACCAAATTACTTGGAAGTCTGCAAAGGGACACTCCATGTTTATACAAACTATGGTTATTCATATCACAAACAAAATGGAAGCAAGAACCCCAGTTAGAAAATCAACTGCCCTTATGTTGCTTATTGACTTTGAAGAGAAAGTAAATAACAAAATGAGTTAAACAATTGAGGACTACCTAAAGTTTACCAGCAAAGTCATGAAGATCATGTGGACAAATCAATGGAATAATCTCAAAGCAAGCACAACTCATAAGAAAATTATCAATTTTTTGTGTTGAAAACACATGCAAGCATCTCATGTCATAAACAAATAACTCAAAATAAATAAAAACAAAGAATGATAAATAATGCGTTATTATTGCAAAGAACTTTCTTGCATTGAATTAATTTGCATGTGTAGTTGATTTCCTAAAACATGAAACGATCAAATAGCAATGTTTTCCTGAAAACCACAAAGACTATTTATTTTGATGATAATATATTATTTTTTTAAATGCAAGATTCCTTTTCAGTTTTTTGTTATTTTAATTTACTGTTTATGTTTTGCGTCTTTTTCGGTCGTGCCGCTAGATGTCGCATGATCGCGACCATATAGCGGTGCTGCATACGGTCGCGATCATTGGACTTCTCAGGGCTAGTGTCTCAACCGTAGCTTATTTTAAACATTTTTTTTTATCTTTTGCTCCGCCAAAATACTGTAATATTATGAGTTCCTTCTATATGGTCATTAATATTGGCATAATAATATACAATGACGTCTGAGCACCAGTAAGTACTGAAGGCAACCACTGTTCAATTGACAAACTATTTGCTACTATATCGCATCCCCTACCCGATCTATAAGGAAACGGCACTGTCGGTGTCATTGTTTTAACTACCTGATTGCGTTGTGAATGCAACGCACTTGTAAGCAAGAGAAGATATTTCGAATTTCGTAGAATATGGATGAAGACAAATTGTCGATAGTGTTAAGTGCAGTTCAAGTAAAGAGAAAAATGAAAGAGTTAGCACCAATTTGTGGCCATATTCTTATGTCCTCAGAGGTATCTCAGTGTCGCCTGTGATTACGTGGCGCCTAAATATGATGTTTATTAGGGTTCTCTAAGAACAAATAGTCTTCTGTGGAGTATTGTTCTGCATGTTTAGCCAACAGAAGTTGTTTACTACTTTGTTAGGTTCAGAAAACTATAATATAATAGAAACAAATGTAATACGCACGTATACAGTAAAGGCGAAAGAAAATGAAAGCCGTGTTGAAGGCATAGTTCAAAGGTTCAATGGATCCGATTCTATTTCTTTGACCAGTTTAAATTTCTTACTGACCAAGTTCTGTGATATTCTGCCCTCTTGTTCATTACTTCAAATGGCATATTCAATCTCAAACAAAGTTTTGCTATTTTCGAAATGTTCAAAGGGGCCAATAGGTTTTCGACACTTGAGACGAAATATAATTTGGCGCCCTATCCCCCAGATTTGCACTAAATGCATTTTTAATAATTTTTAATCTTTAACAGTCGCATAGTCATTATAGATATATAAAGAGTAAGAGAGAGCAGGATCCCCCCGAAGAAACAACGTTCAGCTGTTGGAGTAAGACAGTATAATCAGGGGGCCCAACTTGCAAGGCCTGAAGGGCCACAACTGCTTCCTTTAATGCGCTAGCGGGACATATTTTCATTACTCGGGCGATCCACATGTGACTTCCCTATATCTCTGCACGTTGTCCGCCTGCTTTGAAAC